AGTTATAATAACTTCTTAGCCACAGCCAATAGCCCTGAGGGAGTGGGTTGCTGGGCTTGTGGGCTCAGGACTATGGTTGCGGGAGACGTCAAGCATAACCGGCATAAGATACTACACAAAAACTGTTCTACATCCTACTTTGGGTGAGTAGTGACTGGGGTCTTAAAAGCAAATCGACATCTAAGATGCAACAATTGGTCTCCCCAAGTCTGGAGCAAAGAAGCATGAAGAAAACCAAAGATGCATGGAGACAATTAGTCCAAGGGACTAGTGGACCATGTGAACCTCAGCCTACATGATCCTGGGACCAGAATTAGATAGTGCCCAGCTACCACTGTCGACCACTTGGAAAGGGATCAGTGTAGGAGATCCTGGATAGAGTAGAAGAAAAATGTGGAATTAAATTCAAAATCATAAAAAAGACCAAGCTTACTGGTCTGATAGAGATTGGTGAACCCCTGAGATTATGGCCCCTAGTCACCTTTGGGCCTGTAATTGAACTCACTCCTGTGGCTTCCAGCCAAACAAGAGACAGGTGTATAAGGATAACATTTACATCAGGTAGGTACACTCCTTAGAACAATCAACCATGGAAGATCTGAAGGGCAGTGTTTTTATAGGGAGATAGCTCAGAGGGCAGGAATGCACGGGAAAGAAGAATGCAGGGAAAAGATAGCCACATGGAGGAGGTGGAAAGAGGGCTGTTACATTGTGGGAATTGTAATCAATGTTATGAAGCAAAATGTGTATGAACTGCTGTATGGGAAATGAATTTGCTCTGTAAACTTTCACCCAAATCACAATTTAAAAAAAGAAAGAAAGAAAAGAAGACGTGCAGACATGCACAGATCTCTACCAGTCATTACCATCTCTACCAGAGTATTTACATAATTTAAGAGAGTATTTTGAAAACACAACAAAACAAATACTGCCAAATACTGATTATTAAGCAGAGGCATTGGAAAGAAACGAGTAAATGACAGAACTGCTACAGAGGTACTGAATGCTGGAGATTTCATGTAACCACATACTATGCCATCATTGACATACTTGACTCTTGAGTCGTGCATGAAAAGAAAGCAGAAAGTGCATCAAGCTCTTTCAAATAGATTTTCCTTCTTAAACACTGTGGCTATACCTGTGAATAATGCATGAAGGTATTCAAGAAATTAGTGCAGGGGTAGCCTGATGACTTAAATACAAAGGTTTATGGAGAAGTGCAACAACTTCATTCCTACATAAGAACTAAGTGTATAGATTCAGGAAAGTCAAGTTTTACTCATGTAGGCATGTATGATTTCACAATAAAAGATAAAATGCAATGTGTATTTCCCAATATTAAAATTGCTTTACATATATTCCTAACTTTAATGATCAGAAATCATCCAACATAATGCTCATTTTCATCCCTAGAGACCCCAACCCTCAGCATACAAAGATTCAAGAAAGATTTGATTATCTTCATTATATATGGCAGTACATATTGCTCAGCAGCTTAACTGTGATGAAATCACTGAAGACTTTGTAAAAGCAAAGAATAGAAAGAAATGTAAAAGAAACAAGAGAAAGAAACGTTTTTATAATATGTTAGAGAGAAAAGATCTATCTAAAAATAAAATAATTTGTTGTAATATTTATTGGTCATTAAACTTTCTTTCATGGTATCTTTTCATTTGTTTATTTATAATTACAGCATTTATGAAAGAAGTTTCAAAATTGAAGTATGAGCTGTTATGAAAATCAATTTTCCATTGGGGGAGATTAAGGTAATTTCGCACTGACTGTTGAAAACAACTAAGTTTACTGACTCATTATTTTTTGTTCTAGAATACAGAGTATTCTTTTTATAGGAACTCTGGTAGCATAGTGCCTAAAGAACTTGACTGCTAACCAGAAGACTGGCAGTTTAAACCCACCAATGCTGGGAAGGAAGATGGGGCAATCTACTTCTGTAGTGATACTACCTCGGAAACCCAAGGAGGGGTCGCTATGAGTCGGGTCTGACTTGATGGCACATAGCAACAACAATTCTTTTTGTAGAACATAAAATATACAATAAAAATCTTAGTAGCTCATATCCAGTTAGAATCATAAAAGTTTATAGTCTAGTTCATCTCATCCCACCAAAATGGCATGTCACCTATATATATATATGTCACATA